TTCGAAGCCTCAGAAATTACATCGTCTACCCTTCGAGTGAACAACTAAGAGCTTGCTCTGATATCCTTTCTGATGCGTTAAGTGGAAGGCCACATCAGTCACTGCAGTCGAGTTTTACGGCGCTATCATCCCGAGCAATTTTCATGTTCCTTTGAATCCAGCAATCTTCCATTCATAAAACACACGCCTCGAGCATTTTGTTCCCTAATTTATCACGTGAAGAAACTTGCAAGTTTCAAGGTATAAGCATTAATTCACGTTTTAAGCATTAAAACACGTTTGTCAATCGCTTAATTTTTAAACATAATCTAGTCTTATAATTTTTATCTCGATTTTCTCTGTAATTTATATATATACCTTCTTTTAATGTTGTAACATAGGATATGTGATTATTTATCTTATGACTTAATAAAGATTCATTCATTCATTCATTCAAACGCCTCCCGAATTTATCAACAACCATAATTTTAGGATTGAAATGATGGGACACTGAGAGGTCTTTATATACAATTGTGTCTCGGCGTTACATATTCAAGAGACTCTGTGCCATTGAAAGACTCACCACTTACTTTCCGCAACCTTGCCTATTGCTATTTTCCTAACAAGGTAAAATTTTCTTGATTGATTTTTGACCATTTTGCTCAATTCCACAGATGCTATTCCAACTCAATGGAGTGTTATAGCAGGTGAACACAATTTAAAAGTGAATGGATCTCTCAAAAGAAGCTTGGAGATTTCTAACATCTATCTTCATCCAGAATATACATCTAATGCACCAACATACGAGTTCCCGTCGGACTATGACGTTGGTGAGTAGATCTTGAAGGAAAAAAAAAACATTACACAGTAATTCACTGGAGACCAGAATGGAATACAAAAATATAATTTCCCATGGGAAAGCACATGTACAGCTTACAGAAAGCTTTTACCTCCCGGACAGGTTAGAGCGCTGCAAGTCTGCCGCGTACACCGATCGATTTGTTTAGCCACCAGATAGTATTAGTAAGACTAGGAATCCTAGAGTAGGTGAAAAGGTTCTAAGATTTTACTAAAGCTGTGAAAGGGTAAGGAGATTTGCCACCCTGTCCCCATTATTGATAACTTTGCCTATCACCTCTTAAACTGTGGAATTAAAAATTAGCAGGGGAACTCGATGTTTGATCGAACGGGTAAAAATCATATCTTAAGGGACAGAAACTATACTGAACCACAGAGTGAGATTTTTTTTAACTTAAGAGAGAACCTTAACTGAATAGTATTCCTATGTTCTTTTCCTTAGCCATGGTCCTTTTGAAGCAGAAATTGCTATTAACAAGTTGTTCCTTTCCAATATGCTTGATGCCATACGATGCACGTTTTCTCCCAGGCACAATTTGTTACGTTACCGGGTGGGGAAGACTGGCAACTAACGGGCCTCATCCAACGATGCTTCTGGAAGCAGAGGTTCCACTCGTGTCGAGGGAATTGTGTAATACGCCGGAGATATATAACGGCATCATACACGAAAGGGCTCTCTGCGCAGGTTCAGCTGAAGGAGGAGTGGGGCCGTGTCAGTTTGACAGTGGTGGACCGCTGGCGTGTCAAGAAAATGGGCTATGGTATCTTTCTGGCGTTGTTTCATGGGGAGTGGGTTGCGGAGAGCCTAATAAATTTGGAGTGTACAGTGATATGAGTGTTCTGACGGATTGGGTGAAAGATGTGATTGCTACAGGTGGTAGTTTCATTTAAATTAAGTTTGATATCGCATTGCCAGAAAAAAAAAAAAAAAAGAAACTTATGTGACCTCCAACTGGCGTCGCCAAACCACCCCTGTCGATCTGTGATCAAATCAGGGATGAGAAATGCGCTCAACCATGAGGGTCTGGATGGGGTTTAGTGTTGTTTGGCCTTTTTTTAATGTTTAGTGAGGGTCTGGATGGGGGTGCCTCGAAAACACTAAACAAATGTAAGCGCAAATGGCCTAAAAAAAGCGAAAGATACTGATGAAGACAAACGTGGACATTCAAGAGACAAATTTTCGGCAAAGGTCAACAGTGTACTCTCAGGTTTACATTTCCTCACCTTGGGGATTTTTCAAAATAGTGATCAGGGAAGTTCTACTTAATTAAAAACATTTATTAGTCTTTTAGAAGTTCAGCTGAATACAAAAAACAAGAGTTACCATCACCTAAATACACTCTGAATTTTTTTTTTTTTTCTTATTCTGAGTGCTGAAACATGTGATCTGCAATAATGATATTGGTAAATTAAAAATATTTGTTTAAACTTACTGATTTTGAAGTAATTGAACTTCCCTTGGGTAGTTCTGTTGGACTTAGCACTGATAAAATATAGCTTCTTGCAGACTCCGCAACTAAATTTCAGCTCATTAAGAGCTGAGCTACCAGCAAGCTTCCTCAAGTCTAAGAGAGATAAAAGTAAAGACATGTCAATCATTTTACTGTAACAATTATTGTACTAATAATCTTATCTTCAAATACGATATGAAATTTATATGGATGTGCCAACATCCCATTTTTTTTGTTAATACTGCACCTCAAAATGAAAGAAAATTTTCATGTTTCACTGCTCTTTCATTTCTTTTATATTTTGCCCAGTTGTCTTAATTAAAGAATACATGTAATTATTAATAAATGAATTAACTTATTCATTCATCCGTTTATTCGTTTGTTCATTCATTCATTTAATACCTAATAGTGCTTTTGCAAGGCTTGAAACTGTAACAGATGCATCTAAACTAAACCATCCCATATCTTTCATGGTCTACTATTTATTAGTTGGAATTACAAATATATTACAAATTACATCTTATCAAAACAATAATACTTAGAACTTATTACTCCCAAGGACATTAAAAAACCATTCATTTCATTAAGATTTACCTGCTTGAAGCTCATCTAATTCATGCTGCTGACGTACATTTCTCACAATTTTATTGTCTCCCAAAATATTTTGAACTAGTTCTTTATCTTCCAGACATTCTTGTTATCTTTTCCTACTTTTCTTTCTCGCGGAATCTGATGCTCCAGTCTCTTTATCTATGATTGCAATTTCTGGATCTTTATCTTCTGAAGACCTTGTTGAAGTACCAAGAGGTTGTTTAGGAGTTTGCTTCACACTCGGTACAAGCACCATTTTCTTGTCTGACCAATTAATTATCTACTGTATCACATGTACTTATAAAAAAGATAAAAAAGATGAAAATTTACTTTAGTATTTCATGTTTATAATCTTCAAACTAATTACCCTTTTCTAAGTAGTACAATTTGTCACCCTCAATTTTCTAATTCGTACGTTCTAGTTATATTGTCATTAGTTCAAAACTTTTTCAAACCAGTTTGATTTTTATATTGCATTGTCTCCTACTCTTTATCGTAATCTGAAGAAAGGGGTAGGGACTATAGCCAGTCAGTGATAACAGTGATTAATTTCCAAAAAGATAAATGATAATACATGTGACACAAGTAACAATCCCATATTACTCCAGAAAATCCTCCCTCAAAATGGATGAGGGAACCTATTCTTTGAGTTAGGAATTTGGGCTACCGCCTAGTCTTGCAGGGCAAAAATGTTGGAGTGCTCAATCTACTGATTGAGGGGACTAAAATCTTAAAATACTTCATTGATGTGTTTCACTGCCCTCCCTTGAGGAGTCCAAATTTTTTTTAAGTCTGTTAGTTTTCCTGAGGATGTAAGATAACTAATTTAAATGCTGGGTACTAACTTGCGGTAGTGGCTTGATTTCTAACTTGTAATTGATCCAACTTAAATTCCTTACTCAAAGGGAAGGATTCCTGATTCTTTTCTTGTAAGACCATACTGATTAAATGTATTATCATTTTTATTTTAATTTTTCTTCTCAGTTTACGTACAAAATCACTGGTAAGCCAGGGCCTACAAAATAGCCTCGGCCATGTAGCCAAATTCATGTTTTGTCTCCACTAGAAACAAGGGGTAATAAAAATCAAACTGGTTTTAAAAAAAATGTAACCACAACAAATATTCCAAAAATGAAATTATACTCTTCACAATCTTGATTTTCCTTTGCTTGCTGGGTATACTTATGCGTGACAAAATCTTGCGTGCGCTTGGTCCTACAAGTAGGACGCGTGGAGCAGCTAGTGCCAGATCTAAGATTATAAATATGCACAACCTCTTCCAGTTTAGGGAGCATAAAATGCAAGGGGTGAGTCTCATTCGGGGTGTATCAATATAAACCTGGCATAGATGGGCGCGTCTGTCACATAGAGTTGTTAAATTAAGGACATTTAATGCCTCGGTGTAATTCATCAAAGGAAAAAAATGATGCGCATAGCCCTTCTCTGAATGCTCTTAATCTTATAAGATAGAAAATCTGGTATATTCTGCCAGACAGGGGCAACATATTCTAAAACAGGACGAACAATGGTTGTATAAACCTTAGCCAGTGAAGTTGGAGATGCACCACATTGCTTAAGGACCCTTAAAGACTAAAGCCTTCTGTTTCCCTTTTGCACTATAACTTCTACATGATGGTTCCATTTCAGGTCATTGCTTACAGAAACGCCCAGTAACTTATATGTCGTGACTCTTTTAACCGTGTCACTACCAATTACAATAGGATTCACAATAAAATTATGATTACTCATAAAATTAATTAGCATCTCCTTGCATTAAGTAGGGTTCAATTTTATTCTGTGATCTTCAGAAAAGGTATAAAATCGTTTGTAACAAATTGAGTGGGCTGGCACTGTTTCTGGGGATTATATCCTGTTCCTGGGGATTATTTCAAGGGCTGTGGTATCATCAACAAACTTTATTCTAAGGTTACATGAGCGCAATAAATTATTTGTCATGATTGTAAACAAAATTATTCCTAACTTAGTGCCCTGTGGTATACCGCCTTTGGGAGTTTTCCACTCAGATATAATGTTCTCAATCCTCACAGCCTGAGGCCTGTTACACAGAAAGGCAATTATCTAATTAACTAGAACAGGGTGCACATACACGTTCCTTAGCTCGTCAATCAGCACATTGTGATCAATCATATCAAAACCGTTAGTCAAGAGTAGTCAGCAAAGAAAAGCCTAGCACCACAACTCCCTGTATCCACTGTCTCATATACAGCCTGTAGCAAATAGACTAACGCGTCAGTGGTGGAATGTCCTGCACGAGCAAACTGACGAAGGTCGATCTGATGAGACACTTGTTTAATCAAGCGGTCCCGTGTGAATCCCTCAAGCACCTTAGCAAGAGTGCATATCAGAGCGATGGGCCGCAAATCGCTCTCTGTCTGCTGCCGGGGTGAGATTTTAGGGATTGGGTTCAGCAATGAGGCCTTCAAGGCATCAGGAAAATAGCCCACGATCAGGAATGCGTTATAAATATCCTTGACAACTGGTGCTAGTTCTTGAGCGAACTCCTTCAGTACCCTAGCTTTGCCAATCTTCACAGATGAGAGGGCCTGGAAGGCTTCCTTCTCAGATACCAAGAATTCAGAGGGAACTTCCTGAGGGACCAAGACTGGAGGTTCCAAAGGTGTAAAATGATCTGTCAAACTGGTAAAAAAATTTTTTACCTTATTTGAGAGGGAGAGCAAATCCGAGCAGTTTCGATCCAAGAATTAATAATACCAATCCTGCTTAACATCCTTTTTACTCAAGCGTTTAGTATGATTCCACAAATTCTTACTAGACGAGTGATCAAACTCAGATCAGCAATTTTATTCCTATAGTAGAGACGCTTAGCAGACTTAATTTCTTTCTGAACAGTATTCCGCCACATCTTATAGGTGCTAGAGCCCTTGCAGTGCTTAATAAAGGCCTCTTGCCGCTTTTTAATGGATGACTTTAACCTTTTTGTTATCCAGGGTCTATCTGAACTATTGATTTTAACAGTTATCCATGGCAATAAAAGCTCAATAGCCCCTTTCAACTCCGAAGAAAAAAGCTGAAATTTTTCCTTACACAAAGTCGTTCAAAGAACATGGGCCCAGTCCTTCTCTAATATCCATCTACCAAAGGGTCGCTAGACGCTTTCTCCCATATCTCTGGCCTGCAGTTTTCTATTAATACGAGAGTTCAGAGGGGGTGTCACAGGTCTAGCAAGGATGGTAAAGTGGTCCGAAGTACCAGTCTTTGGCAGTTTAGAGAGATCAAATAATTTAGGCATGTTAGTCAGAAACCAGGCAGTCCAAGGTACCCGAGTCTCTGGTTTTAAATTTCACCATTTGCTTGATGTTATTCTCAAGGGTCAGATCTTTCATATTAAACCTGGTACCAAGAAAGTTGATCAAATGCCTCTTTGCGTCAGTTATATTTCTTTGCTCTTTACCGATTGGAATTCTGCTTCGATGCCTTTCAAAAGCATTTTCCTCGCCACATCTACAAAAGCTGACTAATACTTCCACAACTCCCCCCGATGCGGACGTGGCGGGGGTGTACGCTGATGATTCTCAGCTCTATATCATAATAAAGCGGAGTAATCGTCGTGTTGCCTTAGAACAGATTGAACTTTGCATTGATGAGGCTCTACGTTGGAACACGCAGAATGGTCTTAAATGCAACCCAACAAAGACTGAAGTCATTCACATCTGCTCTCGCTTCACGCCCAGTGACAGCATTTCACACCTCAGAGTTGGCACTGCTATTATCGAACCAGTAAATGAAGTGAGAGATCTCGGCATCACTCTTCACTCTACCCTCACTCTTCCCACTCACATTAATATATAAATATCCGCGTTACGAAGTTTAGCAGATATTTGTTTTCTGCACGTTCTGTATGGAATGTGGTCCTCGCTAAGTACGCATCCCGTTATGTCTCTTGTGTGTAGTTATTTGCATAGTGGTGTATCAGTTTGAGGTTAACTGGTATTCATCCTTCGGGTTGTGAACGCCATCGCATACAGAACTTTAATTTGCGTTGTTTATCTTATAGTGCGGGGAGTTTGGCCATTTGAGCGCCTTCTGTTCTAAGCTTTCTGTTGCGCCAAAGAGTGATTCGCGCCATTCTTGACTAGACGTGGATTCAAGCTCAGAGAACGTTCTTCAGCATTCAGTTGAGTTCGATTTTTCTTCCTTTTTTTGGGTAGTTACGACGATTTTAATGTTAAAACCACTAGGAGCGGTGTCAAGGGTCGTTTGAGCGCCACCATTGAATTTTGGAAGAGTACCTTGAATGCTCCTGAATTTGTGCTTGACACCATCAGGCGTGGGTACGGGCTTCCTTTCGCGGAATATCCGCCCTCGTGTTTTTTGGCTAATAATAGATCGGCCTTCCAGCATTCTGAATTTGTGACACAAGCCATCTCGGAGCTTTTAGCCTACGGTTGCATTATTGAACACAGTGTTCCGCCATTTTGCGTTAACCCCTTGTCAGTTGCTAAAGGGAAGAAGCTGCGCTTAGTCATCGATCTCAGGCACGTTAACAGCTTCCTTGTGAGGTTTAAATTCAAGTATGAGGATCTTCGCTCCCTATCTGAAGTTCTCGAGGAGGGGCACTGGTTCTTTACACGGGACCTTAAGTCCGGATATCATCATGTTGATATCTGCTTGGAGCATCAGCGATATCTCGGTTTTTCTTGGCAGTTCAACAGCGTGCCAAGATATTTTACCTTCGTAGTTTTGCCCTTTGGCCTTAACAGCGCCTGTTTTTGCTTCACCAAATTATTGCGTCCGTTAGTCTGTCGCTGGCGCTCTATGGGTCACAATAGCTTTACTTATCTCGACGATGGGCTCAGAAGTCTACCCGATAAGTGTTCCGCCGCAGCAGCTGCCATCATCCAAAAGAAAGAGCTCGACTCCTCACGTCTCCTTCTGAATGAAGACAAATCTCATTGGCATCCCATGCAAGTAGGCGAATGGCTGGGTTTCGTGATTAACACTATTACTATGTCTTTTCATATTCCTGAAAGGAAGATGGAAAAGCTTAAGAGTCTTTTAGGCTCTGTAACTGGAGATACGTCGTCCTCGTATCGAGAATTGGCCAGAATCGCCGGTTCTATAATTTCTATAGCCTTGGCAGTGGGGCCCATTTCACGTCTTCTAACCAGGCAAATGTACCTGGCAATTGAATCACGATCAGCGTGGGACCACGCCCTTCGTTTTTCCCCGGCTCTTTTGGAGGAGTTGAGATTTTGGTACAGCAATATCGACTCGTTTAATGGCTATTCTCTTCGTCCACCCCTTGATTCGTCGACGGTTATTTTCTCTGATGCTATTGATGTCGCCTTCGGCGGGTTTTCGGCCTCCTTGGACGGCGTAATGGCTAGCGGCATGTTCACGTCTGAAGATCTTGGTCAGAGCTCCACGTACCGCGAGTTGAAAGCTATTTATTATGTTCTATTGTCCTATGCGGAGAAGCTGCAGCAGAAGAGAGTAAAGGTTTTCACCGACAATCAAGGCGCTGCGAGAATAGTTTCTGTTGGCAGTTCCAAAGCTCACCTCCAGTCTGTTGCTTTGAGCATTTTTTATTTTTGTTTTTCAAACGGGATCATCCTTGAAGCACAGTGGATTCCCAGGTCGCAGAATGAGAGGGCTGATCTCCTTAGCCGATTCGTTGACAAGGACGATTGGCGCGTCAATCCTTCAGTTTTCCGTCTCCTTGATGCTAAATGGGGTCCTTATACATTCGACCGCTTCGCGACCTACTACAATGCTCAGCTCCCTCGGTTTAACTCGAGGTTTGCCTCACCCGGATGCAGTGGGGTCAACGCATTGGCACAAGACTGGAGCGCCGAAAACAACTGGATATGTCCCCCAGTTAGTCTGATCGTCGATTCTGTTCGTCATCTCATGTCTTGCTTTGGCCGCAGGACATTGATCATCCCCGAATGGCCCTGCGCTCATTTTTGGCCTTTCTTGCGTGAAGGGTCTTCTCGGTTTAGCTCGTATGTCGCGGAAGTGTTTGTTCTGCCTGCAGTCGAGGATCTACGATTGGAGGGTCCTGGTCAGAAGCAGATCTATAAGTCTCGACCTTCTATTTTTCGTCGTTGTCCGAAGTTCAGAATGTTGGCTTTGCGTTTAGATTTTAGGTGAGTTGTCTAGCCTTCGTGGCATACTTTTTGAGCCCGGCGGTGCACTTTTTCCGGTATCTTTTTTGGTTACGCATATTTGGATTTTTTGGCGCATTTTAGAGCCTGATTTGGCGTATGTTTTTAGCCTTATGTGGCGTGTCTTGAGGCCTAAGTTGGCTAATGTTCGGCCCGATGGGGCGTTTCAAACCGGACATTACCG